CTGTCTATTACCTGGCATAGGAAGTTATCCATGCACCCCAGCAGTATCTTGGCTTGCCTAGAGCTCGTCGTGCTGCTTTTCCAGCAGACGTCCTGGTGGTTGAAGTCCCACAGCGGGACAAGAGCCTGCGAGTGTGATGCCTCCTGTAGCTGGAGTAGGAAGACTTCATCAATAGACTCCCCTTGATCGGGCAGCCTGTAGTAGACACCAACCACAAGGTTCCCTTTGTTGCCTTGGTCCCTGAGTCTTACCCATAAGCTTTTGACCTGCACGTGGCTATTCTTCAGAGACAGCTCTTCACACTCTATCCATTTCTTGATGCAGAGGGCAAGGCCTCTGCCCTTCCTCCTCACCTATCCCTTCTGAACAGCCTGTAGCCATTGATAGCTGCACTCTAGCCGTGGGGTTCATTCCAAAAAGTTTCAGTAATGGCAAGCAGGTCGTAGCTTTCTAGCAACATGGTGGCTTCCAACTCCTTCTGTTTGTTGTCCATGCTGCATATCTTGGTGTAGAGGCACTTCATCTGGGCTGTTGGCCGTGTCACCTTCTTAGAGGAACACCCCTTAGTTCCTTTGAGGTCTTTTGCTGGTGCAACAGGCTGGGGGCTCTTGCTAGCACTCCAACTTAACGCTTTCTGCCTGTTCCTTCCCAATCCCCTTCCCCTGCACATTCTTCCTGCAGTTTCACAGAATCATAGAATCATTAAGATTGGAAAAGACTTTTAAGATCATCAAGTCCAACCATCAACCCAACACCACCATGCTCTCTAAACCATGTCCTGAAGCGCCACATCCACACGTTTTTTTGAATACTTCCAGCGATGATGACTACACCACGTCCCTGGGCAGCCTGTTCCAATGTTTGACCACTCGGTGAAGAAATTTTTCCTAATACCCAGTCTAAATCTTCCTTGTCACAACTTGAGGCCATTTCCTCTTGTCCTATTGCTAGTTACTTGAGAGAAGAGACCAACACCCACCTCACCACAGCCCCCTTTTCAGGTAGTTATAGAGAGCGATAAGGTCTCCCCTCAGCCTCCTCTTCTCCAGACTAAACAACCCCAGTTCCCTCAGTCACTCCTCATAAGACTTGTGCTCCAGACCCCTCACCAGCTCCGTTGCCCTTCTCTGGACACGCCCCAGCACCTCAATGTCCTTCTTGTAGTGAGGGGCCCAAAACTGAACACAGGATTCGAGGTGCGGCCTCACCAGTGCCGAGTACAGGGGCACAATCACTTCCCTACTCCTGCTGGCCACACTATTTCTGATAGAGGCCAGGATGCTGTTGGCCTTCTTGGCCACCTGGGCACACTGCTGGCTCATGTTCAGCCGGCTGTCAACCAGCACCCTTTTCCAAAAGGGGTGTCCTTTTCTGCCAGGCAGCTCTCCAGCCACTCCTCCCCAAGCCTGTAGCGTTGCATGGGGTGGTTGTGACCCAAATGCAGGACCGGGCATTTGGTTTCTATAGTTCTGCTGACCCTCTCTCCTCCAAGACCCTCAGATTTGCACTTATCTGTTGCAAAGTCCATATTTTTTTGCAGTTTCTTGATGACCTGTCAATTAGTGTGACTGACAAGGTTGTTTCTTGTTATTGTCTCCATTATGTTTCTCTGTCAGGTTTATGTTTCTCTGTTTTGTTTCTTGCTCCCCTCTTTACTTGTAATCCCCTTTCACATTGAAAAGGTCTTTGATTGAATGACCTTAACAAAACAGGTGCTCTCACCTTCCACTTAGCCTTACACTGAATGTATGAGATGTTTCTTTATAACTGGAAAGGAAATGCATCCCACTGAGAAACATTAACTTCCCCCAGCTATGCTTGAGCTCCATCCATGAGTTGCTTTGCAGTAACTGTCAGACAGATAGGAGATGAAAGAATTAGTGCTACATCTGGGGACACAAGAACTGGATTGGTATCCAGTGCATTGTGCTTCAACCACAACTCATTTGTATCAGTTGAACTTCAGTTGTTAAGAAACCCCAGTTTCCCTTTATAGCTTTTACCAGGTGTGTGCAGCTCTCCAGTGGCCTGCTCCTGATTTGCAAAGAAAACCTATTTTGTGCAAACTGGGCATGAATTGAATTAGCCACTTTGATTGCAGCTGTGAGAGATTGTAAGTGTGTGTGTTGAGTTTCTCCCAGCTATGTTTTCTGTAACACTGAGAGTATAACCTCCAAGTGTGAGATTCATGCTGTGCTGTACAGACAGGAATGATTGGCTAGGGAGCATTTGGGAAACGATTGCTGTCAGATGCAGATCAGTTAATAGTATTTATATGCCTCCTTGCATATTCTAAACGTAAGGGTCTCTAGTGTGTACTGCTAAGGCAGTATGGGGATGGGAAGCCTTATTTTCATTGTGCAAAGGCAGAGATGAAGTTGTATGAAACTGTTATATTGTCAGATTTTGTTGAAGGTTAAACCTGTCAGAACTGAGGACTGGTCAGAGCCTGGAGCTTCAGGTACAGAAGCTGTGATTTTTTGCAGTTCTCAACAAATTCCTGAAGTCATGTACCCATTATTATCTGTGAGATGTCCTCAGTCAAATCATTTCGTCCTGGTGGCAAGAGCTGTGCTGTACCAGCGTCTTCTGTGCTGGCATTGAAAAGAAATGATTGTGATACACTTCATTATGCATAGAATAGTTTGGGTTGGAAGGGACCTTCAGAGGTCATCTAGTCCAACCCCCCTGCAGTGAGCAGGAACATCTTCAACTGGATCAGGTTGCTCAGAGCCCCGTCCAGCCTGACCTGGGATGTTTCCAGGGATGGGACATCTACCACCTCTTTAGGCAACCTCTGCCAGTGTTTCACCACCCTCACTGTGAAAAATTTCTTCCTTATATCTATTCTGAATCTACCCTCTTTTTAGTTTAAAACTGTTACCTCTTGTCCTGTGGCAACAGGCCCTGCCAAAAAGTCTGTCCCCATCTTTCTTACAGACCCCTTTCAGTACTGGAAGGCTGCAATAAGGTCACTCTGGAGCCGTCTCTTTTCTGGGCTAAACAATGCCAACTCTCTCAGCCTGTCCTCACAGCAGAACTGTTCCAGCCCTCCGATCATTTTGGTGGCCTCCTCTGGACCCTCTCCAACAGGTCCATGTCTCTCCTGTGCTGAGGGCTCCAGAGCTGGACACAGCACTGCAGGGGGGTCTCACCAGAGCGGAGTAGAGGGACAGAATCCCCTCCCTGGCCCTGCTGGCCACGCTGCTTTGGGTGCAGCCCAGGACACGGTTGGCCTTCTGGGCTGTGAGTATACATTGCTGGCTCATGTCCAGCTTTTCATCCACCAGTCCCTCCAAGTCCTCCTCAGCAGGGCTGCTCTCAGTCCCTTCATCTCCCAGCCTGTACTGATACCGGGGGTTGCCCTGACTCAGGTGGGGGCACTGCACTTGGCCTTGTTGAACCTCATGAGGTTCACACAGACCTGTTCCTTGAGCTTGTCCATGTCCCTCTGGATGGCATCCTGTCCCTCAGGCATGTCAACTGCACCACTCAGCTTGGTGTCATCTGCTACTTTGCTGAGGGTGCCCTTGATCCCTCTGTCTTTGTCACTGATGAAGATATTAAAGGGTCCTGGTCCCAGTACGGACCCCTGAGGGACACTACTCATCATCGATCTCCATGTAGATCTAGAGCCATTGACCACTACCCTCTGAATGTGACCCTCCCTCCAATTCCTCATCCACCCAGCAGTCCACCCATCAAATCCATCTCTCTCCAATTTAGAGAGAAGGATGTTGTGGGAGACTGTGTCAAAAGCCTTACAGAAGTCAGATAGACGACATCAGTAGCTCTTCCCTCGTCCACTGATGTGGTCAGTCCACCATGGAAGGCCACTAGGTTGATCAGGCAGGACTTGGCCTTGGTGAAGCCATGCTGGCTGTCTCGAATCACCTCCCTGTCCTCCATGTGGCTTAGCATAGCTTCTAGGAGGATCTGCTCCACGATCTTTCCAGGCACAGAGGTGAGGCTGACAGGTTGGCTATTGACATGACACGTAGGTGTTTGGGAGAGTCTTTCAAGAAGCTGTAGAACATTAACATAATCAGTCCAAGCATTTTTATCTTTTTTTTTTTTTCTTTCTGTTTTACTCCCTTAAATGTGACCTATCATCTAAAGCACTTTGGAAATCATTGGTTAGGAAATGCAGAAAGTCTTGTTGGTCATCAGCTGAGTTTTCCTGCCAGGGCATAGATCTGCACTGAAATATTCACTTGTCCCTTGGCAGAATAGGCTGCTTTGTTGGGGATGGGAAGAAGCAACATAAATCACCATTTTAAGATCAAAATCAAGTGTTTTTGGCTAGGAAGTTGTCAGGCATCCACACAATGGATTTTGCAGCCTTCACAGCTGAATTGTGAAATCCGTTAAGTAAGGGCCATGACCTAAAAGGGATAATTGTCTGGAAATGTACTTTCCCAAGATAATTTGTTCTGTAATTTCTTTTACAGATTGAAGTGGACCTTGGTAAAAAGTGCTGGTATCATTCAATATTTGCCTGTCCCATTCTTCGTCAGCAAACAACAGATAATAATCCACCTATGAAATTAGTCTGTGGTCATATTATATCAAGAGATGCTTTGAATAAAATGTTTAATGGCAGCAAGTAAGTATCATTCTTTTATTTCGAGCAACATATAGACAAGCACAAATCTTAAGAATAGAGTACTGTGTTTTGGGAAACTTGAGCCCATAATTACTTAATTGGTGGAAGCTTGTTAATCTTAGAGAATGATTTAGAAACCAGGTAAGCCTAGTTGATGCACTGAGAAAACCCTCTGATGTTGTAGAAAGTGAGATTACATGAAGGAATGCAGTGAACAGAGTAATTTTCCAAGTTGTAAGTACCATTGTGTTGTCTTAAATTCAAAATGGAGGCTTTTACGCACCCAGTTTTTTTCATTGGGAGCAAGGTTAGTGTGCATGAAACATCCCTTAAAAAAATAAAGTTAAACCTCTGTGGAAATACAGTTTAGTAATTGAGCAGGTAGTTGAATTATTGCTGTAGAAATACTGCTTTGTAGAGGTCAGCAGGGTGCCTACAGGCTTTTGGGAAGGAGGAAGAAGGAGGGAGAGCGCTATACAGATTTCCTCGAGGAAGAACCAGTAGTAATTTGGATTGAATATATGCAGCTTCCATGGAGGCTGTCAGCTTAATTTAGAGCCTTAAGTTGTTTTGCAAAAACCAGTGTGAAAATAATTGATGCTATAAATGAAAATGTTGAGTGATGTTTGCATTCTTTGCCCTGCTAGGAAAGCCTAAAGGTACGTCTTTATGGGTGACTTCAGCCATTTTAAGCCCGTAAACTTGCTGCTAAACTATTCCTGTCCCCAGTCACTCATTCCTGATACTTTCGTTGATCAGCTTTAGTGGCAGCACAGCTCTGACAATATTGGGACGGGGGAATGAAAGGCCCAAACTTAGAGTTGGGGGAAAATGGATCAATGCTAGAAGAAATATTGTAAGCAGGTGGAATTGTATATCTAGTGGAGACCTCAGCAGGGAGGCCAGGCTGACCTCTTCAGTCATAGCCTGCAGGAGCTGATCTAAGTGAGTTGGAAAATCACAGCATTTTGGGAACCAGAGAGTAAAATGCACTAGTTGCTGAGGAAGTCAAAGTGAAAGCTACTAGCCTGTTTAAAATGACTAAAATGCAACAAACTAATCCAGAAGTAGAAAAAATAGATTAATTATGAAGAGTAATTTCTTGGTATTTAATAATTCAGGGGTGTGTGGTTGAAATGTGAGAAAGAATAATTAGAAGAAAAAGTGTGATAAGGTCTCTCTTAGCTAAAGGTGACTTAACGGACCCAAGTAAAGAATAATGGCTTAAGAGTACATTTGTTTCATGCTGCAGGGGAAAAAAGAGGAAGGACTATCACTGCAAACTTGGTACCTTTGTAATGGATGAAAAAGCTTAATGCACAGTTGTTGCACATTGCCACAATTCTAACGCGTTGTCTTTGTCCCCAGATTAAAATGCCCCTATTGTCCAATGGAACAGAGCCCTGGAGATGCCAAACAGATATTTTTCTGAAGAAAAGTTTCATTATGCAGTTTGTAAGTGACACTCTGGATTTTGGGTGCATTTCAGGAGAATTAAAACACACTTGTTCCATTTTATGCAGCAAACTGAGGACTCCTATGTTTGTATAAGCTAATGCTACAGAAACTTTGCCAACATTTAGTATATACTACCAAGTGGAAAGCTACAGAAATATTATCATAGGGCTTTACTATACTCTTGGTCTCCATACCTGATCAAGTTACTACACCAGCAGTTGTCATTCAATGCAGGTTTTTTGTACTTAATTATATGGTTGACTTTTTACTTTTTAAAAGCAGAAATTGATCACCCCCATTTGTTTAATATTCTTCCTGCTATTATTCTATCATTCTATTGATAACTGTCACCTTAGAGAATGTTTGTGGAAAAAGTTTTATTTCCCATAATGTGTACATAATTAAAGGTAAATACTTCAGGAAAAAAAAGTTTGATAAATCGAATAGTGGTTATAAAACTAATTTGTATTTTTTTCGCAGAAAAAGCTGTGATATATTCTGAGTTTTTCTTTCAAACATTTTTTCAACTTTTACATAGAATTCAAAGTAAATGTGCATATATATAAAGTATATAAAATATATAGCCCCAGGGGGCTACCTGTTAAAATCCATCACTAATTTATAAGGATGGTGTGTGGCTAAATTACTACTGGAGCAGAGAGGGAATAGGAAATCCTGTTCCTTTTGGTTTCATAATTGAGAAGCGTTTGTGTAAGAGAACATTCAATAAATTCTGAAGTGGAAATGCTTTTAGTCAATGACATTTGCTCTCTGGCCTTTGTAGTCACGTTCTTTGAACTTTGTATTCAGGATTAGGCTATAAATGTCATGTTGCTGTATAGTTTAATAGTCATTATAGTGTGCTATTTATAAACAGTTACCAAAACCAAATAAATTGTAGAAGTATTCATTGTTAAATGGGAGAAAAGCATGTTCTGATGCAATCTGCTGATCACGACTCTGCACTTGGCAGAACTGGGCCCTACATCATATATTAGGAGGTAGCGAGTTTTCTGTAGCTTGAGAACACTTTGCTTCTAGCCTTGTTTTTGTAGTGGAATATTACTGCCATTGCCACTTTTTCTGCTAAATTTGTCATATTGTTGACTAGGTAAATTTGTACTCATAAACGAGATGTAGATCATGGCAGTTAAATCTTTTCTAGTGTGCATATATTTGTATTTATTGCACTGTCCTATAGTAGGGCAAGCAGCCATAAGGCATGCAAAGCTACATGTAAAATTATATTTCTGTATTGCGTAGTTTAAAAAAAAAACAAAAAACAAAACCAAACAAAAAAACCCCAACCCAAGCTTATATAGTTGAGTGCTGACACACTGGTTGAATGCACTAGCACAATGCACTACAGAGAAGACCGTCTTTGAGAAATCTGCACCTTTTGAATTTGTATGTCACCTGACTTGAGAGACTGAGCTGGACTCTATTGGATCAGTGACAATGGACATCCCTAAAGAGACATTAAGAGGAGCAAGTCAAGGCACACAAATTTTAAACTTTAAATGTGTTTGATACATGTGAAAAATACAGGTGTGTGATTTTCTGCAAAACTTAAATTGTATTCACACTGAGTTCAAAACAACTGCGTTACCAAGTGGTAAAATCAACAATAAACGGGTGAGGATATTATTTTCCATGTAGGTTTCCTAGTCTTGCTGAAATTGCTTGTAATCTTTTCTTTTGAGTGGGATTGCTTAATGCTTTGGATTTATATGAAATGACATGTGAAGTACTTAAAAAACCACCACCAATAACAAAAGCCCCATAAAAAAATAAGTAATAACCAAACCCCAGAAAACCACCCTGAAACGTCTAAGTACTGCATCTCTTTCTCTGTTACACTGCTGGTATTTTGGCACTGGTGGAAACACTGGTTCATGTTGATAGTGCCTCTAGTGCAATTGCTTGGAGTACAAGAACAGCACAGTTAGTAAATGACAATAGGCTGCAAATTCAGTGTACGTATTAGAATGTTTTTGATACAGAATGGTCCTGTTTTAACTTTTAAGTAGCGTTACAGATCCATAGCTATGGATATATCTCGCCAGATAATTGCAGTTCTTTTCCTAGCTGTCTGTGTGTTTACTTAAAAATAATTGCTTGCAGTTTTGAAGTTCCACCAACAGATGATGCCAGCAGTCTAACACCAGGACACAGTTTAGTACAGAATGCTTTTGCGCTTACAGTAATGGGATATTGTGCTGGGCATTTGTGAAACATGTCTGCGTTTTTTTGGTTGTTACAGCTACTCAGTTTGGCCTTTGAGGTGATGCAAGTTGTCTTGCTGATACACTTCTGGTAACTAGAGAAAGTGCTTGGACAGGGAAAAGTGAATAATGCTCTGAGGTTTTCATACTTCAGATCTACCTGAGGTGCGTACGCTTTCTCTAACAGGATTTGGGACTATCCATAGTAAAAAAAGTGTTTGATTTTAAAGCTATGGTGGTATCTGAGGTCTGTCTCTGTTACACTTTTGGATCAGATTGTGAAGCCTTTAACTCGTCCCTTTGTGCAGCAAGTGCCTTTTAAGGAGACTGCTGCATAACGAGAGTAAAGAGACTCAGCACATTGATACCTCTATAGAGATCACCGTGTCACTTCTGCGTGCTGCCTTGGGCTTGCAACGGGTGCTTCCCCGCTCCTTTGCAAAGTGTGTCGGAACAGCAGCTCGGCAGCAACAAGTACAGCAGCTGGTAATGTAGATGGGCCTCAGGCCAAGAGTTTTTTGACCGTGCTTATATAAAAGGTTTAGCTTATCGGTGTTCCAAAAGTAATGGATGGTTATAAATATGATTTCCACAGCAGTGGCTTGTTAGTACTGTTATTTCTATGTCTATTAATAGACTTATTACGTTAAATCTGTTAATAGACTTTGAATTTTAGTAAATGTCTTAAATGGGAAATCTATTGTGTTATGTTCTTGTGGGGTTTCAAGTCTAACTTGTGGTATGAAACATAACCAAACCTTAAAAACAGATAGCAGGAAATGAAAACAGTACATTGTCTTTTTGATTTCAAAAGGTATTGATCATTTTTGTAGTACTATGTCTGTCATTAATACAAAGCTCATGTCCTCACCTCCCGTTAGTACTCTCGATGATCAGCTGCTCTGTGAAGTATTTTTGAATTAAGGAAGGTCTTTTCCTGCAGTGACTTCAGCACTACGCATTGCAAGCAGACATGGCTTAACAACCAATCTTCCCTGCCAATCAGTGTTTCTCTATCAAATACTTTATTGATTTCAGTCTTATATCTGCAAGTTGGGTTAATTAACGTGTGTAGAAGCTGCAGTGAAAGCTGCATGTTACAAGTAATGAGTTAGAGCTTCTGTTCCCTGTTAGCTTAGACCTGTTTCCATCCTGTAGTTTTCATTCTTTGTTCTTAAGGTTTTACAGGACAGCTGCTGCTAAAATTTAAGGCTGAAGTTATTTATGACTACTCAGAGCCAACTCACCAGGTTTAACGCAGTAAGTTTGGGTTAGGTTTTCCTTGCAAGGTTTGTTTGCCTACTGCAAGATACTGTTTTCCTTTCTGTGCTTATTGCTGCAGAAGTTGATTTGTCTCTAGGAAGAAAAAAATTCATGCTCCGTAATCCATTCCATCTCTTGCACTTTTCCTTTTGTAAATAGGAGACTGCGGCGTAGGGAAAAGAGCTTTGAGAACAAGAGAGAGGGGAAAAAAAAAGTGGCAGCAATGATCTGTAGCAAGTAAAGCTGTAATGTAGCGTTATGTTACTGTTCTGAATTTAATTCAAGCCCTAATATATTTAAAGTAAGAGTGGTTTACAAATATATATATGTGAGAGAAGAGTGACTTAATATTCTTTCATGACTTAATGTTGGCATTAAATTAGCAGTCCTGTAGGGAAATACGGAAATTGTGGAGCTGTTTACAGCGTACTGTAAGCTCTTAGTGAATCCTGCTGGGCCTGTGTGCAGGAACCGGCGTTTTCAGATCACAGTCACTTGCAGTTTTTACAGGACAGATGTAGCTGTGTATTCAAATGCAACAGCCCTGGTAGTGTTGTTCAGCTCCTGTTCCACTTCAGAACTAAGAATTTTTTACATTCTAGAGCACAGTTCCAGCACAGACTGAAGCTGGTGGGTGCTGTGACCTGGACTGGCATGAGCAAAGCTCAGCCCTTGAAATGGATATCCTCTTTTCTCCTGCGTTTCCTCTGCCTCCTGTTTATTTTCAGACTTAATGACGCTGATACTGGTTTCTTCCTTACTAAGTATCAAGTTATCACTGTGGGTTTTCTTTGACTAAAAGAAACAAAGGGATGGGGAAGATGCAAATAGCATCTCAGTTCAAGTCTGAAGTATCATCTGTAAGACATTTACCTGTGCAGGGGAAGAACTAAATATACAAACTTAGCTATTTTTTCTGACAAAATAGAACTGAGTAAATCCCAGTATTTTCCAGGGTTTCTAAATTACACAAGAGGTTTCCAAGAATGTGGAGCACAAGCAGATATGGTAGGTCTCCCACGACAAAAATCGTACCTATTCAGGTTATGCTGACCCTGCATATCAAATAGATTTGATTTCAGATGAATCAGAAGGAAGAAACCTAGTTACAGGAAGGTCATATTTCAGTGTCTCTTTACTGTTCTTCCAGAGATTTCAGTAATTATTTTCTCACCTTATTCTGCTGTTCTGTCTTGAATGCTGCAGAAATAGCAGCAAGGGTATGGTTTCTGTGTGGTGGCTGCCAAGCACTTGCACAACATGCACCACAGCATTAGTCTGAGGAGTCTGGGTTGAGCGTAGGTGCCTTCACTGTGATAGGTCATCTGTCAAATACAGGCCTGGACAGACAAAGTGACTTTAGCTGACCAGTCCAGTTACTGGCTCTTCTGGGGTCATCTTGGCTGTATTATTTTTCTGGAGTTTATTTAACTTGTCGAAATCCCTTGTCACTCAGAAAATATTTCGGAGTAAGTGAAGCACTGAATGGGGTTGAAGCAAGTGACTAACAAAGGCAAAAAATGCTGGATGGCTCTGTGTTGTGGGGGCATCTGATTCCTCCCTCCACTTCATAGGGCTTTCAGTGACCATCTTGTACCCTTTTTTCTTTATTAGTTGAGGTTATGCTTAAATTGTAAATCAGCTCTTAGTTTTCCCACTATTAATTGTTAACTGCTAGGTTTGTCTCTAGTCCATCAGCTTCTGAGCTACTCTGCTGTTAGTTTTGACTGACTGCTATTAGGTAACATTCAACCTCTAAACAAATTTATTTCTTCCTCTTCTCTTGAAGATCATTCTGTATCTCAGACTGTTTGCTTTGTATTAACCCGTAACAGCTCCCAGCCTTTGCCTCTGCATCCAGGGCAGCTGCCTCACCGTGTAACTTCGAACCTCCTCCCTGCGCTATTAGTAAAAAGCTGTCAGATCTGCAGGGCCTGTCTGACAACAGCTTCCTGCATGGAGAACAGGCACCCTCGAGCTGCTTCTCTAGACTCCAGCTCAGCCAGTTGTCCTCCTTTTATTGGTGCAAGCAGCAGCCCAGGCTTCTTACCCAGACATTTCTACTCAACCACAAACTCAGCCAGTTTGCTCCACACTTGCTTGATTTGCTAGAGGCATCTATATGCCTTCTCGCTTGGTGCTGTGTTAGTTGTTCACCTCTAGAGCAGGGCTGGAGTTGCTCTCTGCTCCTTCCCTTTTCACTGCCGTTCTTTGTGTCTGGTTGTAAAGGTTAAAAGATGTGGTTCAGTTTTTGCCTTCTATCAGTAGCTTGTCAGTAGGGGTGCAAAGGTAAATGTCTTGGGAAGAAAATCCAGGCCTTATTAAGCTGATTTTAAAGAATATTGTTCCTCAGCTGTACACATGAATGGGAAGCTTAACAGGCCTTCTTGAGCTATAGGTTTAAATCCAAGGTGCAGTGCTGGCTACAGCTGACCTGAACTGGAAGAGGAGTTGATTGTGGGACTGTGTGGAAGAAAGAGCTGGCAAGGGAAACTCAGTCTTGCTTCGGAGAGCTGTGCTGTGTCACCGCCTCTGCTGGAGGGTTCTTTGGTGAAGTCAGCGTGGTGGTTTAAAGCAAACTTCTCAAGGATATGTCTGCCTGTGAGGTATTCCTCAGTTTTGGGGTATTCAACATGAAACTTGGGGCAGTGACTAAAGAAGAGTAAGTGTTCACTCTGGTGCATGTCCCAAGCTCTGGTTCCCTCAGCCTTCTGACCTGCAGAGGTGATTTTTCTGGTTGTGTGGCAAATGCTGAACCACAGAAGTTCAGTCCAGTGTATTTGGTGTATTTCTAAAATATATTTCAATTGCAGTGGTTCACAAATAGAAAAGCCCATGTAAGAAGAGACAGATGAACAACTTTTACCCCGGGTATCTTGGGTCAGGCAGCAATCCATTAACACATACTTGGAGCAGCTCATGGAAAGTCTGCAGGTGGAGAGCTGGATATGCTTTTGAAATTAATTCCTTAATAGGTTTATGCTAGCTCATGATATCTGTTCGAATGGTACAGTGGGATAATAGTTCTACTGATACTTTATACGCAGTTTGCAGCCAAGCTTAATATGCAGTTTGGGTGATACATCCCTTTGGTCATCTACAGATCTAAGAACGAAAATCAGAGACCACCAAGATCTGTGTTTGAGAGATGCAAAGGCATGAAGGAAGATAAAGAATTGAAGATGACGCCTGACTGATATCGTTAGCAAGAAGCTGAACGCTGCTAATACGAGTTCAGTGAACAGTCATGTATTTTTAATAGCTTGATTATACCCAGTAAAAAGCCATGCCCTTATAGCTTACAGCTGTGATGACACTGTCCAGAAGTTGGCAGGCGGGAGAATTTGTCATGTGTCCCGTAACAGGGCTTGCTTTGTACGTAAAACGTAGCCTCTAGAGGGGGCGTGTGCTACACAGGCAGTACGATTGCAACGAAAGTCTTGTCTTTGCATTGCTGAAACTGCTGGGAGCCTGCTAGATTCATGAATTTATGAATGAAAACTATTTTATCCTCAAAGATGACATTTCATTTTTTGTTTCTTTTAAGGCACCTGGCTGTGCAGCCAGAGCTTGAACCAGTAGATACTAGTTGGTGCAGGCAGTTGTGTGCTGGCCGGTATTTACCTGGGTTTGTGATAACCTGGGTGCGCGCTGGGTCCTGAGGATTGTGCTGGGCAGGGCGTACTCCAGGGCGCCCTGTGAACTGACCTGCAGAGCGCAGGTCGGAGGTTCAGCATGAAAAGTGTGTAGAGGGAGGCAGGAGGCACCCCAAGGCTTCCAGAGTTTGGCATTGGGCGTAAAAAATCAACTATGTCCTGTGATTCTGAACTGTAGGTCAAAAATCGGTAGCCCCCACCGTGCAGTGGATTTTGTGCTGTATTCGGGTGGGTAATTACAGCTGTCAGGGTTGTAATTTTTTTTCTAGATGTTGATTTCCTGTGCAAATGAAAACTACTTAAAAAAAAAAAAACCAACCCACCAAAAAACCAAACTAAAACCAAAACCCCAACATATACTGCTTCCAAGTTCTTCGCTATGTTCATCTGTGGTCTCAGGAGGGCTTTGGCTGCATCAGTCTCACTGCAGCACCAGGGTCTCAAGTGCAGCACTGCACAGGGGAGCATTGCTATTAGAAATGTCAGTAGTTAGTAATGCCCAAATATAGGTATTTTACATTGTTTAGGGTATTATTTTGGACTGTTTATCCTGCAGTAGGATTCCATGAGGTTTCTGTAGTGAGGAATTTGTTGTACATGTGTTCATCTTATTGAAATGCTTTTTGATTTTAAATATCCATGTCCTGGTTTTCCCTACAGGATTGACCTCTGTATGTTCTCATAGCAGTAGAACTAGCAATAAATGTTTAATCTGTGGATTGTGAAATAATAATTTCATTTGAAAGAACAGCATAGCTTACAGGGAGAAAAATACAGAAAACACTTCTGCTAGGTTTTTCTGTTCAGTGTTTAACACTATACATTTAATCGTGGTGTGTGTCACATGCCACATTCAACGACTGCGCTAGAGAAAATGCATTTTCAAGGAAATGCTTCCCATGCATAATCTGTGGCCTTTTGTGGGGAAACAACAGATGCATGCAGTCAGATCATTGTGCCTTCTTTCTACAAAACTGTTTAAAGAAGCTGGAGTGGGAGGGGAAAGGTCACTGTGGAATTGTGGAGACAAGCTGTTGGAAGAGTATTTAGGTTTGGGGGTTGGTACCAGATCAGGAGGAGCATTGCCTGCCAGCCTGGGTTGCAGGAACGTGGCATGATGTAGACCAAAACTCTAGTGTAATGTGACAACCCAGGATAAAATGTTTGAGAACAGTGAGGAAAGAGCTGTAGAGAACGCTACCAGTGAGGTAGTGATGTTCCTACCTCTTGTAAACTGTTTCGCAGAAACGCTTTATGAGTTATGGCTTTATGAGTGAAAACTCTTAGCTCAAACTAAGACAACAAGAGACTCCTGGAAAAGCTAGTAATAAAATTGATGCTCATAGAAGAAATGTATGAGCGTTTCATCTCTGCGTGGCCAGAGCTGACTGTAGGATGAGTTTGGACTGATTTAGGTGGCCATAATGTATTAAAATGGGGCTAAAGGTTGGACCTAGTCTGCCCAGAAATGGGTTGGCAAGTAGAGCTGCTCCATGTTGCTGTCCCAGTGCAGCTGCAGGTCTGGGGCAGAGCCTGGCACCGCAGGTGTGGGCAGACCCTCGCTTCTTCCCCGCTTAGCACCTGGGGTTTGAACGAAGTCTGACTGTGAACAGACTGACTGTGTCTTAGTGTTTCTTAACATCTGTGAATTCATAGACATTTTGATGTTAAGGCTTTTCCATTTATTTTTTTCTTCATAGTGTGTGTAGATACATGTAGTTGTCATTCAGTATTTATCTGCCATTCTTTAGATACTTAACTAGTCCCTAATTACTTCTTTTTATTAAGTATTACAAAAAACTAAGTTTGGAAGAACTTAATTTCTGTCTTTCCCAGCTTGTTTGCAGAGGAGGAGGGGGCTAGCAAAGGGTCTCTTTCATTCTTTCCCTCCCCTAGGTTTTTATCAGTCCCTTGGCAAAAAGACCTGGAGGTACTCAGGTATTCATCTCATCCACCTTCATAGCACCTCCCTGGGATGGGGGGGGTGTTATAAGGCCCATCTTGCCAGTCCCTGGGAACATAATTACAGGTTGTTTTAGGCAGTGGTAAGCTGGAAACTGAACTCTGGTATCCTAAAGCTCAGGCTGGTATGTGAATCACTGTCTTTTCCCTTACCCAAGACTTCTTCAAACACTCATTTATTATCTTCACAAAAAGATTTTAGGTTTTCTGAGGTTAGGAACTAAATAAAGAAATAAACATTAGTGAGTCTAACTAGAAATGTTGTTTTCTTTCTCTCTCCCCCCACCCCTTCTTGATTTACAAGTGTAGTAAGCTGAAAAACAGAACTCATTGTAGTCAATCAACATGTCCCACAGAGGTATGATAAAAGTCCTGCTTAACCAAAGCAAGTGACAAAAACTTTTTTTTCTTCTACCCCTCAAGCAATTTCTTCCAGAAAGAAAGAAAATCCCACCTTCCTTGCTTAGGCAAAACTGCTGCAATCGGTGGAAGTGAGGCTAGCAGCAGAATAAGGATAGCAAGAGGGAAACAGCAAAGCTTAGCCCCCAGGTTGTAAAAACTTAAAGTAAGGCACTTTAATCAGTATTTACCTTCTCAGTGCAGCCTTGTGTTACGTTAGATGAAACGGTAAAACTAGGAGATACGTGGCACCACGAAAAGAGGGTGTGTTAAGTGAGGGCTTTTATTTCTAGGTAATCTTGTAGCAAATTCAACTTTTTAGCTGCATTTTAGAAAGAATTATTCCACACTCCTGAGGAAAAGTCCAGCTAATATCCTTGTTTCTCATCAGTTTATAACTGATACATGTCAGCATCGGGATTGACCTGTTTCTTTTGCCTGAACCACAGAGATCTGCCATTGGGAATAGAGGTGGCATTTGGCCTTGGGAATTAACTTGAAAAAAGTCAGGTTTTTGGAAGGAGCTGTGCTTTAGCATGCAGTTGACAGAAAAAGTGCCTGCTTGCTGTCCGTGCATCTTGGCTCCATCTTGTCTTTTCAAATGCGTCAGGGTAGAGTGCATGAAAAGCAGTAGCGTTATAGATAACGTAGGTGATGGGCTTATGCAGTGACAGCTTCCAGAAGCCAGAAGGTGCGGTGCTTATACGTGTTGGCCTGGGATGCTGGGTTTCACATTGGGCTTCCCATTTGCAGATCTAGAGAGAAAAAAGGTTTTGATTTACTTTGATGTGAAAGGAACAAGAAGGCAATTAATGTATAGCTGCTGATCAGCTGGCTTAGCCTTGGTCTGCAGCCAGGGACCTCCAAGAGCAGGCGCAAAGTGTTCCTACATTTGTGGAACATCTTTGTGCTAGTGAAGCATCTGCCAGCATTGAATTAGCAGATACACTGCTAATCAATTGCAAATGTGAATGAAAAGGAAAAAAAGTTGTTCTTTTTTAATTTGCCCCTGACTTCCACACCTTTCTGTCTTCTCATTAAGCCTGCCTCCACGCTCAGAAGAGCTGGGAGCTGAAACGGGAAGAAAAGCTCAGGGCTTTTTTGGAGTCAGGGAAGCTGTTATCAGTTCATAAGGACTTTTTAGTGTTGCAAACCAGTTTCCTGCAGAGGAGTTTAAAAGGAGGCTTTCTAGACACCGGCGTATTCTCAAAATGATAGAAATTACTGGTTTCCAGCAACTGATAGTTTTATGCTGATGTAATGAGTTGGAGATTTGGCACCCGTTTTCACTGAAGATTAATTTGTGGTGGAAAATGAATCCTTCAGCTGCCAGCAAGAATCCCAGGCCAGATCCTGAGGCACTCTTTAATTGAGTGAATTGCACTATTAACTTCCAAAGAGCTTTATTTCAATAAGCGGGAACAGCTCAGGGCAGCAGGAATTTCCTCTCTAAATAAAAGCTTAAATACGCTGCAACTGCTTAAACCAGGACTCTGTCATGTTAGCGCTGCCGAAGGAAAGCTGTCCTTGATGAGATGATTTCCTAAGGCACTTGTAACCCAACCGCTCTGTCAGTGCAAAGCTGAAGAGCTTTGCATGTGAGTTTTGGTTTTAGGTTTTTTTTTTTCCCCTTAGGGACAGAACATTTTTGCACAGAGCTGGCAACGGGGATTGAGATAAGTGAAGAATGCAGGCTTCGTCCTAAACAAGGCTGCGAGAAGAGCTCTTCGTTATCATTTAGCCCTTGGAAAGCCAGGCGAGGATCAGAGGAGCGCTGGATATAATAAATATCCGTCGTAAAAAACGACAGGCTGTTCCCTTTTTCAGATAGGTAAAAGAAAATGGAGGTCTGTGGGCGCAGCTGTATTCTGATAGTGCCCCCGAAGGGCAGAAGGCATTGCCACTTGGTGCTTCTTCCCTTAAACGCTATTATTATTCAGGCAATGATTTCTCATGCATTCTGCCTTTACAAAACAGTAATTGTAAGGATCCATTTTCTGTTAGTGTAGGGGGAGGCAGGTTCTTTCTGAGCGATTGTATTAATTTGGACAACTAAAAAACTGTTACCTTTTTAACTATGAAACCTGTGGAAGTATAACAAGGAATGTGAATTTATGTGATTTAAAAGATGCCTGATGAAAAAAAATAGGTGTGACAATACCGTTCCAGACTTCCTGGCAACCCAGCTTTTCCGGGTGCTAGCCCGGCGCTGGCCTGGCCAGAGCAGCAGCTAGAGCACCCTTGCCGCAAGCCCTGGGGTGCACTCAGCACAAGACTTGCAGAACTGCAGAAGCGGTTTTCTGCAGAGCAGGCGAGGCAAAGAAACCAGCCACAGGGAGGTCGATTTGCAAGAGCAAAACGTGGGTTACTTGCAGGCAAAAGGATTTCTTGTTCCAAACTGGCAAATTGCAATTCTTACTCCAATGGTGTTTTTCTGGTGGGTTGGGGAGGCAGGAGGGAAAGCGTACAAAAAAGATTCCTGTCTGCCCTAGAAAACAGGTTGACTCTAAAGCTGCTATACATATCTGCATTGCTGTTTCTCAGGAAAGTCACATAAGGCTGCGTCAGCCTCGCCGCAGCCGTTACTCGGTGCCTGTTGGGGAAATAGAGGCATAAAGCCACGGTGACGCTGGCCCAAAATTGTGCAGAGGGGGATCTGGGTTGCGATAACTTGCATCTAATCCGTGGGCACAACCTGAAGGTCCAGCGATGAAATCAAATGAACACTTTGGGGAGGGGAAGGGATGAAATACAGCCACCCCCATGCTCGAGCTGGAGTAGTGCACTGGGAGCACACAAGCGTGCTGTTAGTTATGAGCATCGGGTGATGCACCAAGTTTTTAGGCTGCCATAAACACCTCCTGTCTTTCTGTTTAGTATCTACTGCAGTGTCAGTGCTCGGTGATTTGAATTAATATTAAGAAAAGAAACACAGGAGAGGAGAATCTTATCTCTCTTTTTTGCCCTTAATTCATGATGCAGTCCCCTCCCATCCGCTGTATATTGGATGAAGAATTTTTAGGTCGCTTTTTGGCACCTGCCTGTTTTATCGCTTGAGGGTGAGATGCTGCCAAGTTGAAGAGAAAAATGTCGCTAAGAGAAAAACCACCTGTCACTTACTAACCTTTTACATCTGCATCTTCGTCTCCTGGTTTCTAAAATAAAAAAGAAAACGTTTTAGTTCAAAGACACCGAGTCGCAGCTCAGTAAAGAGACGCTGCAGCAAGGTAGGTCTGGCATTCCCTAGCAGCTTGCCGTCTTTAAGACTAACAACGGATAAACCAAGCTTATTTTTGAGGAAAAGAGTGCTGCAGCTCATGTTTCCCCAGCTGTCCACTTAAGTATTTTAATGAATTAAATTTTCATGTGAGTAACAGTAGCAGGGTCAGCCTGGGAGCACTGATGGTGAATTCCCCCCCCCCGCAACTTTGACATGTTGCTGAAAATCCATTGGCAGCAATTAATTTCTACAACAGGCGAGTGGCAATGATGCCACACAGCCTGCAATCAAGTTGAATGATACTTTTCCCCATGTTAGCATCGATGTCGTTACTTTGGGCTCTATTCGACAAAATACAACGTCCAGCACAAGGTAAAAATCTGTCCTTACGGGCTTGGGCTGCCTGCTGCAGAAATTAATTGCAGCTAATGGCTTTTCACTGATAATTCACATCAGCAATAAAAGGCAGAAATAAATCGTTGAGTGGCGTTTGTAGGTTAACGACGTTGCAGGTCACCGGGGAATGCTAATGCACATGGAGGGCTCTTGGCTCCTGCTGACTTCAGAGGGAATTTGGACCAACTCCAGGTGCTCTGCTGCATCACTGGCTACTTCCCTCAAGAAGAATGATTTTTTTTTTTTTTTGGCTGTGGCTCATCAGTTTGGTTTTTTTGTTTGTTTGTTTTTCATGTATTCCTATTGCTCAGACAGTGGTGATTAGTATTTTTCAGGGCTGAAGCATGCTGAAAAACTGTACTTTTAAGTGGATCAGCTGGTAAATTCATCTCGGGCTGTGGGGTCAGTGAGGATTTAGTTAATTCAGTGGCAAAATGGTGTTCCAGGCAAACTTCATTAAATTGGCGAACTAAGCCAATTTAATGAAATCAGCATAACTTCTGGGGGTATCGGGGCACTTGCCAAAGGAAAGTTAAACTGATTTCAGCGAGCATTAGATTGATTTTAATACATTTACACTTACTGCTTGCTCAGGGTAATTTAAGGACATTTCAAACATGACATTTCACTAAAGGACTTTTGCCTACCCAGAGATTTTGCAGTACTGCTTTAACTGTAGCAGAGTCTGAACCTGTGTGATTAAATTGCTTGTTTGGTTACAGCTCAAGCTGCTAATGGGAGTCTCAGCATTTGAATTTGCTAGCCCTGTGCTGGAGCACATTTATCCTGGTTTGTCAAAGTGTGTCAGGTTCTGGCACTTTTACCCCCTGATACACCAGTTAAAGGATGGTAGAGCCAATACAGTTTTATGGAGTAAGTTTTCTGTATTTATAATCTTTTTGTTTTTTTTCCTTGCAGTGTAGAAACTGATGATCTGATGATTATTTCTCTGGCTAAGCCTACTGATGAAGAAAATAGGGATTTTTTTTTTTTTTTTTAACAGTGGTCCTTCTCTTGGGTTGATTATATCCTGGTTATCTGATGTCTACATAAAAGGGATAGCTAGAAGATCTGTTCCCCTGAAGGACAAGGCTGCACTTTCAGGCTAGAGGAATATCTATGGGGGGATACAGGTGAGTCTTACGTTGACACAGCATGATGGTGACGGACAGGGCGATGAGGAGCAGGAGGCAGGCACCTGCCAAGGGAACCCAGATGAAGATGTCACATAAAAAATTCAGCTCTTTCTCCGTGGTGGTCTCTGCAGGAATAGAGATGAGGAAAGGTCCACCAGGTGCACACGGCTGGTGTTACGGCCAGCTCTGGTGAAGCCAAGGGACCTGCCAAGGGACCCGCCTGGCATTCGGCGAGGCTGACAGTGAAGCAGAGGGCTTCCCCTGGCCCACCAGGGATGTCTGCGAGTGCAGCACGGACATTCGTTAGTGCTGCTGCCTTTTCCTGGGAACTTGAGGGAGGACATGTAGCCAAAAGTTTTCTCATGTCCCCTGCTGAGGCTAAAACCAGCACCAGCCCCCAAGGCTCTACCCTCCCTCCACATCTTCCCGGTGTGCCCAGACATGAGACATGCTATCTATATCATCCTTAGCCTTTCCTACGTGGGATGAAACACTGGAGTTTAATCCTTCCAGCTGCATGTACCCGGTTTTCCAATTCCGGTAAAGCTCTAAGGACTTTCACTCTGCCACATCCCAAAACGCCTGCAGGATCCCCCTCGGTGTCAGTGGACCAGAGCCCATCTCTTCCCCTCTCCCCCGCTGCAGCTGGGCTACCTGCATCCAGGGTCTTCAGGCAGGGGTCCTTTTCGGTGATGCCACACTGGGTGGTGGGTGCTGCTGTGGTGGTGACTGTAAGTGAAAATGGATGAATACAGAAAAACGCAATAAAATAGTGCTCTGCCACCGCTGCCGGGGCACTGCTGCTTCTGTGGCCAGCACAAGGCTCAGCTCCAGGGGAACTTCATAAAGCCCATTTTGGATGGTGAGTCCCCCAAGGATGGTCTCCCAAGACCCAGTAAGGAGCTGTAGGCTCCTCATTTCTTGCTTTCTGCCACCACCCTCAGAAAGCCTGAGTACCCTGAGGTTGGTGAGACTTCTGGGACGTATGTGAGGTGAGGAAGGGGGGGTTGTAATTTGCTCTAGTCTCATCCCTTCAGAGCCGCAAATGGGATGGAGAAATGGAGATGGGGAGGTGATGCTGGGTCTGCCTGATCATCTTTGCCTGGAGTGATACCATGAGAGGAGATGGCAAGCAGGGAGCCTCTGGCAGAAGGACCAGTATGTTGGTCACAAGATGCCTTGGGCAAGCAAGCAGGGAGATGGGTTTTGTGGAAGAGGCAACATTAAAAAAGGCATGGGCAGGGCATGCTGGACGTTTTGGCAGAGCTAAGCAAGGTTGGGTAGAGGTGTTGCTGACCTGGGAAGAAGGCAGGCTGGCCGAGGCTGAAGTACAGCACTTGGTTGCTGTTCATGAGGCAGAAATAGTTCCCCTCATCCTGCAGCGTGAAGGACTTCACTACCAGCCGGTAGAACCTGCTGTGTTTCCTCGCCTCGAAGCGTGTGGATGTCTTCTCATTCCCTTCGAAGGTGGCCCGGGACAGGGAAGAGATGAAGACAATGAAGTGAAGGGTCCCATCCTTGTCCTGGCGGACCCAGAATATGCCGCTGTCCTCCTTGCTGGACACACACTCCAGCTCCAGCCGCTGTCCCACCTGGAGGTGCGTGATGTTGCTGCCGTGAAACCTGGCTGTCATCGTGTACCTCTGGCCCCAGATCCCAGGGCAGCCTGTGGGAGAGAAATCCTCGTGGGAACTGCTCAGGAAGAGCCGCGTCCCCTCCGGGCAAACCTCGTTCCCTGTCCATGGGGTGCGCGGTCAAACACAAACGGAGAACCATGCTGTCCGGATGACTCGAAGGTTTTATTGGAGTCCTTGCTGGGATCGTGCGTGGGGGGTGCCCAGCAATCAGCCACCCGGGCTTTAAGGAGGGGTGCTGCCCTTCAGAAAAACCTTTCAGCTGCCTTCTTGGGGACGGTACCCCTTCACACCTTAACTGAAGTGACTCCCTAAAAACACTGACTGCTAAATGCCCTTTTTTCCCTCTCCCCTCCAGAACCACTTCTCTGACCAGGCTCCCTTCCCAGTGCGTACGATGCTGCAGCCACCCCGCTGCCCTGCGCTGGCTGAGCCGATGCCGCCTTTGCCTCCGCGATTACTGAGCAAACCTCAAAGTCAGCCTTTTTGGTTTGCTTTTTCTTTTCCCTTTAACTATTTAGCCCAATTTCTTGGATCCAGTGGAAGGGGTTTACTCGCCCCTCCCGGCAGAGGTGGTGCACAACCCTGCGTCCATACTCACAGAGCCCCAGACCGAGCAGGAGGAGCGGTGTGGGATACCCGGCCATCCTCTCCTAGGGGTGGCCGTCCTCAGGGACGGTGTGGCAGAGCAGAGATGATCTTTCTTACTTGACTTAGGAGGCTGCGTCGCTCTTTGGAGAGGATGTGATGTCATTGGGACCCTCTTGGGTAAAGAGATGATGTTTGTCATCTGTGGCAAAATGAAGGGGAAAAAAAAAATTAAATATATTTCTGAAGAAATTCAGTTCCAGTCCAGACTTTGGGATCATTTAATGTTATGAGTTCTTAACGGTGCCTCAAGGATTTTGCCTCGATGACTTCCTTAGAGAGTCAGACTGACGACGCTCGTGCCTGAGGTGGGATCAGCCACCGCAGCCTGCTGTCTCCCAGCGTCTGTGCACAGCGGCTCCGGCTCCGCAGAAGTCACGGACAAGCCCCATGCTTTGGCTGCAGGGCCCAGGTTGCGTTTCTTGGTAGGGATTCTGCCGCCCTCGCGCGCATTCGAGGGGTCTCATGCAGATGGCAGAGCACACCGTATTTTGTTACCCAGCGAGCAAGACTAGGGTGTTTCATGGCATATAGCCATGCGTTTTTCATCTCCGAGCGTATGCGTTGCTGACACGCAGCTGAGGTCTTCACGTGCTTGATTGTTCTCTTTGCAGTTCTTTGCAATTGCTCTGCAAAAGCTGCGTTGTGCGAGGCAGGTGGTCTGTGATCTGAAACCCACCGAGAAAGCCCCAGGGGTATGCTTTTTTTTTTAACTTCTTGTGGTTTTCTTCTCTAACCACAGGGGCTTCCGCCCTGCCAAAAAAACCCTTGCATGCTTCAACAGAGAGGGCCCTTGCTGCTGCCTCCAGGTGACCACTTGCACATGGGTATGGGAGATGCTTCCTGGAGCTTTGCACATACAGTAGTGACAGTTTCACCAGCCTGCGAGGCGGTGGGTTCGTGTATTATTTATTTCTTTGGTTGGCACTTCCTGGCTTTCCTGCTGATTATTTTTCTGTGCGAGGTGTTTTTCTATTACTCCTTTGCAAAGAAAGCTCCTTTTTCCTGGTTATGTCAGAAACCAGATGCTGCTGACATTGCTATTGCGGCTGCAACTTTAGAGATGACTTATGGAAAATGGTTTAGGAGCTGGGTTTATTTCATTGTACATCAAAGCATGGTGGTGAATGAGGAAAGCTGCTGTTAGGCCTGCTGAGATGTGTGCATTTCATACTTTCATGAGGCTGTGATACTTGTGATGTCTACCTGAAACAGAGCAGATTTTGGCAAAATAAAGAGAAAATAGGTTTCGTCAATTAAACAACGTTACAAGGATCTGGATCTCAAAATCCCATCATGCAAATGTGAACATCAGGCTTGAGGTTCTTCCAAGGTTTTCCAGTCGTCTCCAGATGAGACATCTAAGTGATGCTACTTGTGTAGGCTCCTTCTGGTTTCAGTGGGCAGTTTATTCTCCTTATCCGAAGTAGAATTCATCCTCCTTTTATAATGGGATAAGCTGCTCTTCAGCAGCACCTGTCTTCATGGGCTGGTGGAGGAACTGAAACCATGGGCCTGCCTTGTAGATGACTGCAGTTGAGCCTCATGTTCTCTGAGATGCTGAAGTGAGCTGGTTCCTGCCATCCATCGAGACTGGTGCCTGGGTGCCCCCACTTCTATCACTATCACAACTCGGTGTCAGAAAATTAAATTTCAAACGCATTTTCAAAAGCACAACCCCCTGAGACAAAAGTAGGAAAATTCTTGATTCCGGTTGTTCAGCGTGGTTTGAATGGAAATGAGCGTGCTGGCAAATGAGGATGGGTCTTTGGGGGGGGACTGAATGTTTGTCAGGACTAGGTTCTCGCTCTGCTGTAGAGCATGGATTTTTACCTACAGCACATGGTGCATGTCCTCAAGGATGTGGTAATGGATGTTCTGGGAGAACCTGTATGATTAAAGGATCATCCACGAAGGGCTCTTGCCTCTTCTTGCTCTACCAAGTCCCTTGTTCTGTTGCCCATGGTATCGCCTCGTAGTGCTTCAGAAGGACTTCCCACTGCTAAGCAATGATGCAACGTTGCTGATGACGAGCAGATGCTGCTTGATCTCCGCAAGTGATCAGTGGTGGTAACTCAGGGTGTGGCACTGGATTGTGTTTGCTTCAGCCTTGCTGATTCTTCCTGTTGTCAACCTTTGAAGGAGCTCTTTCATAAGGAGGAATGGAAAGTTTTAATGAAGATTTCAAAAATTAGTCGCAAATCACAACCTTTTGTTTCAGAGGAAAAAAAGACTATAGCATACAACTTTTCCGATGTGAAATGATGCTGTGGTTTACAAGCAAATTGCTGCCCCCCTTTTCTTTGCAAAGCTGCAGCATTGAAAGGGTTTGGAGAATGTCAAGTGCAACCGTCGCGCACCAGATACTGACACGCTGTCTTTCCACTGTAGCTGCGTGTTTCCAATTCAGTGGCCAATACTGCACTCTCTTCTGAGTACTCTCAGTGTAAACTTCACATACCTTAAAATACAGTATGCAAACCACAAACACTCCTGCACTCTCGTTTCTCCATGGTGTAGACCTTTAACCTGATCACTGGGTGGAAAATCTCCTTAATCTCCATGCTTGTTGGTACCTCAGCTGAGAGGTACCCACTGAATATGGGCATTCATTAGGAAAAGGGACCATCTTCAACTGGTCAGCTGGGCTCATTATCTCACTTCCACAATTGAGTTTCTGTTGGGTTTGAGACACTGCTTGGCAGTTGTCCTCCTAGTTCAACTCCCTTCCAGGGCTCTCATACCCTGGGAGCTGACTTTCGTCTCCATCAATCCAGAGTCATGTCATGTCTGGTCTCCTTCCTTGCTGCACATTAGCTTCTTCCCTGAAGACCTTGAGCAGGAAACCATGGTGGAGATACCCCAGGGAGTTCTTCTGCGCTTATCTCTGTGGTGCAGGAGGACTTTCCCACAGCAGGGTATTGTTGTGCATCTTTACTGTCAACATCTTTGAGAGGGAACTTCAATTTCCACAGTTGGTTACAGCAAGTCAAATAGAAGCATTCCCATTTCTGGTTATCCCCCCCTCCTGCTGACAGTGCTGGCTGTATGGAAACCTGTGGCTTGTTTACTTGTTTCATCTGTTTTGTGGTCCTATTAGTTGGCTCTTCTATTACTCTTACCATACCTGTTCTCCTAGAGGTACCGCTGTCACCCTGTTTGTGAGTGTTGGACTCGGTAGCCATATAACAATTCATGTTTAAAAGATATCCTGCAAACTTTATTTTTATGCACATTAATTTACTTCCATTTATGCATTATAAATATAGAACTGCAGGAGGATTCTGAAGAGACTGGGCAATACAGGGGCAGGGGGCAGGTAAAATTTGGAGTAGTTGAATGTGAAGTGATGCATGCAAGGAAAACCAGTTCTGACTCTGCTATAAAATAAGGAGCCAAACATTGCCATTCACGGGTGAAAATTTGGGTTAAGGCAGGTAGTACCATGGAAACATTAAGTCAGTGCTCAGCAGGTTAAGCAGATCAGATGTTAGCGGGTAGGAAAGAAATGGGGTATAAAACAGAACACAGCTATGTCATCGTATGGTCCAGTGGTCCAATGCATGGTCAAACCAATCCATGGACAATCCATGGTCCAATGCACTGTATAAACCCTTGAATGCTGTGTGTTGGTCTCACCCCCTCATCTCAAAGAGGGGACTCAAAAAAAGTAGTGGGACCAGAAAAGGTTCAGAGAAGGGCAAAACGGAGGATCAGAGGTCTGAGATGTGTTTTGTGTAGGCGGACTAGGACTCTTTAGGCTGAATACAAATGATTTAAATGGATTTACCCTAAAGGTTTCCAGAATCGTGACTAGCTGGGAGGGAGTGGAGAGGGATTGGTTATTCACTGCCTTTTCCAGTACAGAAAATCAGGGGCGGCAGGTGAAGCTTACGTTGGTCAGGCTGAAAGCAAATGAAGTTGTCCCTCACCCATGGATGTCCCTGCCAAAGGACTTTGAGAATGCACAGCCTGGACAAACGCTTGGAAGACACACGCTTGTTGTCTATTGTTACTCAATAGGTAGCAGTAGGCTCAGGGCTAACAACAGTCTTACATGATTGTCCTGTCCTTATTCCTTAGCCATCTGCTCGTAGTCAGTGTTGGAGACAGAGCAGTGGTCTGGACAGACCTTCGCTCTGAACCAAACCAGTCATCTTGATATTCTTAACTGTGAAATCTCATTACGATGTGTCATTTTAAGGAAGCCATTTGCTACAAGACTGCACATCCATTTCCTCTGAAACACTATTAATTTTCCAATTATCTCATTCTTTAATGCAGAGCACTTAAATCTTACTTAGCTGTTGGCCCTGCACAAGGACATTTATCCACAAGAATGAATCCTGTGGTTCTCCGTAGCTCTCCCAACATCTCTGTCCTCTGGACCGCAGGTAGTGAGAGAAAAGGGCAGAGTCCAACTCTTTCATGTGGTTACCATCATATAGAGAAAAAAACTGGTTTCTGGGTGTGTATATGTTCAGGATATAGGAGATACATACACACGGGCTGCCTATGGCTTGCCAACCCGTGTCTCCAGTTGTGTCAGTTGGAAGATAACGGGTTGGAGACAATTTGAGCTTCACACGGCTCCTGCCCTTCAGGGCAGCAGCATCCATACCAACAGGCCCCGTGTCTGCATCCCTGTCTGCTCGTGGTGGGACAGGACTCTTTCCACAGCCCTTTGTGACTCTCCCTTGCTCGCTTCGCAGCCATGAGTGGCACAGGGAAGGGAGAAGGGGCTATATCGCCGGCTCCTCCGTGGTGTGCCCACCGTAAATGACACTACTGAGGATGCTGTGGCCATCTTTGGTGCATCACACCCCTTCATCCCAACAGCAGAGCCCGTCAGAGTGATCCTGTGGTTACCTGGAACCTCGAGCAAGACACCTTTGGTGCTGGGAGAGGGCAGAAAGCGCAGGTGAGTTTTTTCTTTCTCTATTTTACAGTTCAGGGCACCCCGGATGCCTCTTGGAAGGGGGATAATGGCCAGGAAAGG